TATTATATCTTCGCATATAAATATCCCTTCTGTCCCTCTTTCTTCACTACAGATGTTACAGCTCTGAAGCAGGGCTATTGGAACATAGTCTCTGAATTTCCCTTCATTTTAGAATGTGTTCACTTCTTCTTTATTCTTCAAGGATATTTTTGCAGGATAAAAATCATTTTCAGCACTTTGAAAATATTGTCCTACATCCTCTGTCCCATTTATTTCTGATGAGAAATCCTCTGTCATAGTAATCATTGTTCCTGAATAAGCAATGTGTTGTTTTCCTTCGGCTGATTTCAAGGCATTTAAAATTTTTCTCTAGCCATGTAATTATGATCTGTCTGGCCATGGACTACTTTGAGTTTATTGTCAGAAGTTTTGTGAGTCTATTACATATGTAGATTTGTGTCTTTTGCCAAATTTGGGAGATTTTCGGCCTTTTTTCCTTCAAGTATTTTTCAGCTATGCACTTTTTTTCCTCTTCTGGGCCGCTAACAATATTGATGTTAGATTTTTTTGTTATTGTCCCACTGCTCCTGTATTTCTGTTAATTTTTTAAAAAAACTATTTTCTCTCTGTTTTCAGATTGGATAATTTATACTAATCAATCTTTTTTTATATAAATTTATTTATTTATTTATTTTTGGCTGCTTTGGGTCTTCATTGCTGCACGCAGGCTTTCTCTAGTTGCGGCGAGTGGGGGCTACTCTTTGTTGTGGTGCACGGGCTTCTCATTGCAGTGGCTTCTCTTGTTGCAGAGCATGGGCTCTAGGCGTGTGGGCTTCAGTAGTTGTGTCACACAGGCTTCAGTAGTTGTGGCTCGTGGGCTCTAGAGCACAGGCTCTGTAGTGGTGGTGCACGGGCTTAGTTGCTCCGCGGCATATGGGATCTTCCTGGACCAGGGCTCAAACCTGTGTCCCCTGCACTGGGAGGCGGATTCTCAACCACTGCACCACCAGGGAAGCCCCTAATCAATCTTTAAGTTTACTGATTCTCCCTTTTGACATCTCCATTTTGTTACTCAGTTCATTTATTGAGGTTTTATTTATTTTTTTATTATTGTATTTTTCTGTTCTGAAACTTTCATTTGGTTCTTTTTATATTATCTATTTCTTTGATGAGATTTTCTGTTTTTTAATTTCTTTTAACAGTTTTTGTAATAGCTTGTTGGAGCATTTTTATGGTAGTTACTTTAAAATCCTTGTTGCAGAATGCAATGTATGAACCATCTTGGTTTTGCTCTCTGTTGATTGTCTTTTCTGATTACAGTTGAGATATTCCTGGTTCTTGGTATGATGGGTAATTTTGGACTGTATTCAGGATATTTCTGAGAATTATGTCAGGAGACACTGATTTCTCTTTAAATCTTCCATTTCAGAAGACAGTTTATTTTCTAAAATACACATTCTGGATCAGTTTTATGGGCCATTGTTCACACCCCAACTCAGTTTTCATGGCCTTTTCAATGATATTCTTTGTTACCTTGAACATTGTAACGTTCATAGGGAGTCTGGATTCTGCTGCTTTTCTCTGATGAGGGTTGATTTTGTGTTTGCTTGTTTTGTCATGCAGTGCTCTTGGTTAAATTTAGAACAGCAGCTCTTCATCATGAACAACAGCTCTAGCCTCAGCTGAGATCTTCAGTTGTGTTGAGGCTGTTCCATGTATGAGTGTCTCAAAACTCAGCCAGAAATGTGGGGGTCAGAATTTGGAGGGTCTTCTTTCTGAAGCTTTCTGCTTGTGTGTTTCGCAGTCATCCTCCTCCTCTTATTCACAATTTATATTTTCCAGGCCAGAAATAGTAAACATTTTTTCCATGAGTTCCCTGTGAACCCGTTTGCCATGTCTATTACACCTGGCCTGAGTCTAAACGTCACAAAAACTGTCTCTTTCTAGAGTTAGTTTCCTTTGAGCATGGACTCCTGACCAATGCTGCAAGCTTCTGTTAATGCCCGGCAGGCTCCAATTTCTTCATGACCTGAAGTATCTATTAGATTCTATACTATAGATTCCAAGTCTCTGTTGAAACTGTCCAATATTCATTTTTCTTCTCTATGTTTTTCCTGTATTTGTGCGCACACACGTGCACAACACACCACAGCTCTTCCTGCCCCCCTCCCCCAGCTTTATTGAGGTATAATTGACAAATAAAATACTAATATAATTAAAGTGTACAGCGTGATCATTTGATGTAAGTTATTTATGATTCTCAAAATTAAATTAATTAATATATCCATCACCTCACATAGTTTACCTTTTTTATTTATGAGAGTGCTTTTGATCCACTCTCTTAACAAATTTCAAGTATATAATACAGTATTAGGAACTATAGTTGCCATGCTGTACATTAGATCCTCAGGACTCATTCATCCATCTTATAACTGAGAGTTTGTAACCTTTTGCCAACTTCTTCCCATTTCCCTAATTCCCCAGCTCCTAGGGACCACCATTCTCTCTGTTTTTGTGAGGTCAGTGGTTTTCGTCTTTTTTTTTTTGTTTTAGATTCCACATGTAAGTGATCCCATACAGTATTTGTCTTTCTCCGTCAGCACCTTTTAATCGCCTTCATGAATTTCACCCATCTCACCAGCAGTCCCCACCTCTGCTAACCACCAGTTTGTTCTCTGTATCTGAGTCTGTTTCCGTTTCGTTTTCTGTTCGTTTGTTTTAGATCCCACATATGAAATCATGGGGTGTTTGTCATTCTCTGTCTGACTTAGTTCACTCCGCATAATGCCCTCAAGGTCATCTGTGTTGTCACAAATGTCAGGACTTCCTTCTTTTCTATAACTGACTAACATTCCACTGTATACCTACCACGTTTTCGTTACCCATTCATTCACTGGTGAACATGCAGGTTCTTTCCAAGCCTGGGCTATTGAGAATAATGCTGCCGTGAACATGGGAGTTCAGAAAGGGGTCTCGTTTTCTTTGCGTATATGCCCAGAAGTGGCACTGCTGGCTCATATGATATGTTTTCAATTTTTTGAGGACTGCATACTATTCTGCACAATGACTGTATCAGCTTACATTTCCACCAACAATGCACCAGGGCTGCCTTTTCTCTGTGTCCTCATTCATTATCTCTTTTTGATATTACCTATCCTATCTCGTAGAAGGTGGTATCTCACTGTGGTTTTGATTTGTATCTCTCTGACGAATAGTGATGTTGAGCAATTTTCATATACTTGATGGCCATTCATATGTATTATTTGGGGGGAAAAAGTGTCTGTTCAGGCCCTTTGTCCATGTTTTAATTGAGTTATTTGGGGCTTTTTGGCTGTTGAGTTCTATGAGCTCCTTATATATTTTTAAAATCACCTCATCAGGTATATGGTTTGCAAGTATTTTCTCCATTTCCATAGGTTGCTTTTTCATTTTGTTGATTGTTTCCTTTGCTGTGTAGACATATTTTCTTTTGATATTGTCCCACTTGTTTATTTCTGCTTTTATTGCCTGGGCTTTTGATGTGAAATCCAATAAAATCATTTCCAAGACCAGTATCAAACAGCTTTTGCCATATGTTTTCTTCTAAAACTTTTACAGTTTCAGGTCTTATGTTTAAGTCTTTAATCCATTTCAAGTAAATTTTTGTAAGTGGTATACGACAAGTTTCCAATTTCATTCTTTTGCACATCATAGCTCTTTTTAATCTGAGGATCTTTACTGATGTCATCTTTTTTATTCCTGTTATTAATTTTTGTGTGTAATCTACCTTCTCTTCCTGCACAGTATAATTAAGGGCTTATTTTATTCTGTAGCATGGCCATGGCTTTATACAGGAGATTTGTTTTCAACTATATAAATATGAAAGTATAAGACTGTTTCTCCTTTCTCTGTGTGTTGGCATTAAAAGTCCCGCTTCTGGTTCCTATATCTTGCCCTAAAACCTGGTGGTTAGCCAGATATCACCTCTCATGTTCTGATTTGTCTTTAGCCTCCTTTCAAATCCTGACACTGGGATTTTCCCTTTTTTTCAAGAGAGGGTACCTACTAAGTCATTTTTCCATGTTGCTAGATAATATTCTATGTTTTCATTCACACACATGCACATACATACACACAATATTTTTTCTTTTAGGTATTAATTCAGTTTTACTCACTATGTATTTTTATTGATGTAGAAAAATTAGAGAAGTTCTAAGAATTTTTCTTGTAATGATTAAAAATATGAGAAAAGTATCACAGTTTATTTATCCAGGTTAAATTATATGAAATGCCACTCTGCACTACCACCAATCTTTTTTTGGTAACATCTCACTTCAAATTTCTTTACCATGGCCTTGCCTATATCTCGAACTTCCGTTCTGTCATTCCTTCACTTCACTCATTATACTACAGCCTTTGAACAGGTTCCCATACAAGCTCCCTACCGCTATTAATGAGGCTGGGTCATTTTCCAAACTTTCTATCTTGGCCTAAACATCAATTCCACAGATTTTCCTAAGTATCTTATCTGTATCTTATACCCCTCCTCAGAATTCTCTATTAGAGCACTCCATTTCTTCAGAGCACTTTTCATGATCTCTCTATATTTGGGGAGTTCGTTATTAATTTCCTACTAATTTTCTTTCTCCACTTTTGTAATATAACTGCAAGTGTGGACAAAGTCCTTTCTTTCATGCATGCCACTATATTCTTATCTTTTATCATAGTGCCTGACACATGTATACTGAATTAATAATTGTTAATTGAATGAATTGATTTAATAAGAAAGTTAAATAAATGTGTTTTATATTGGTTACATGAGAAACACTAAGTGTGCTTAAGGCTATACAATCTGGGCATGCCTAATTTTACACCAGAGGATATTGGTAGTTTAATTACATTTTACTTTATATCATGCTTCTTAATAAATTAACTATTTTATCAAAATAAAATATAAAATATGGTCAACATGAAAAGGTATTAAAATATAAAATTTTATAGGAACAAAACTGTTTTGATGTATTACTTGCTTTTGTTTTCTTCTTATATAATGGTTTTCTCTTCAACCTTCTTTATCTTAGTATCCAGGTGCAATAACATTGGAGGGATTTTCCGTTATTATAGCTCAACTGCTTGGCCTTAAAATAGGATTAACATATGATGACATCCATAAATGTTCCTGTCCAAGCACTATGTGCATAATGAATCATGAAGCAGTGTAAGCCTTGTTTTTTCTTTTGAATTTATTTCACACATTTATTTGTGAGGTTGTTTATAAGACATGATGAATTTATTTTTTGTACTCAATCCCACGTCAAAAATTAGGAAGGAATGTTGTGCCTGAAGAGATATCACACTAATGAATTTGTTCACATGATATAAGACTCCAGAAAGCGGTAAACCCCATGATAATGAAATATTCACTCAAGGGAATTAGAGGGAAACTTTAAAGATTTATGAAGACTATGAAATATTGAATTCACATAGATACTGTTGTTGTTTTTGTTCTTGTTGTATCTGTTGCTCAAGGCAAAATCACCCTTAACAATATAACGTAGTACTAGTAGCTTTGGCTATTACTTTGAGGGGAAAAAAAAGAAGAAAAGATTTGAAGAGGAAAATAATTGTCCTTCTTTGCAGTTATTATGCTTGACTACCTACATAGAGGCCACAGCATCAGTACACAGTCAGAACAACAACAACATCAAAAAATTCATCAGGGTGATCAATCTTGAAAACCATTACTATGTGTACAAGTATGTGTATACCAGCACTAAGAAAATAGATGACCTATTATAAAACGTCTAATTTTTTCAGAAGAGGTTTATAAATTCAGTGCAATCCCAATCAATATTTTAGATTCTTTTTAAGGAACCTGATAAACTCTGTGGGGGGCAATAGGATGGAGATGAAGGATACAGGCAACCTTTTGGGGATTATGAGGTGGGATTATAATCAAAGGAGGGATTTTATTGATGGGAGACATGACATATTATCTATAGATTGATCAAAATGAAGAGAAGAGGAAGAAAAGATGATTTTGGACATATGAAGAGTTAAGAGCAAAATCATGGAGGAAATTAGAGAGGAGAGGATAAATTCAGTTACTGTGATAGAACATTAGGAGAGTAAACAGATAGAGACGTAGGGAATCTGGTTAATGGAGGTGTAAAGATGTAGGGAATCTGGTTTATTCTGATAGAAAGCTTTGATAGAAGATGTGAAACACTTATCTTGGAGACTGGAACTTAGAAATGACTTAGGAAAGTGATAGGATTGTTGGACTTGTTGAAGACATATTTTGTAATTACAAATTTAAGATTAATTCAAACAGCTACCGAAGTGCCTATGTAAAAGAAAGCAGATAGTTGACATTTTGCCAAGTTAATGCCCATGGAATCAGAAACAGTTAGGGCTGCAGAGGATGCTGCGTTCTCCTGAAATAATTATTTCAATTTTTTTTCCTACCCCACAATTGGAACTTTGGATAAGAAATCAAAGTATTTCAAGGCAGCTGCCTTAGCCCAACTTATTTTATAGCTGTCTTTAGACCCAGAGGTAGTCTTCCCCACAAAAAGCCAATTATTTAATATTTGTTTCAAATGCCTTGTGTCTATTATATATGTATGTATGTGTATGTATATATATATATATATCACTTGCATTTCTTCCTTCCCATGGCCATCTTTTTTTTTTTTTTTTGTGGTACGCGGGCCTCTCACTGTTGTGGCCTCTCCCGTTGCGGAGCACAGGCTCCAGACGTGCAGGCTCAGCGGCCATGGCTCACGGGCCCAGCTGCTCCGCGGTACGTGGGATCCTCCCGGACCGGGGCATGAACCCGCGTCCCCTGCATCGGCAGGCGGACTCCCAACCACTGCACTACCAGGGAAGCCCCCCATGGCCATCTTTTAAGCAAAGATTTTAAAAATTAAATTGTTTTGTACCCACCTTAAATAAAAGTTCCAAGTTCTAACTAATACTTTTAATTTTCACTCAGAAAACATGTGGTCCAAGTAGAAAATAACCTCTGAGTCCCTGTGTATTTTTAAACTAATTTTGTGTAAAAGGATGTCAGTGCTCAGAGTTCGTAGCTTTTTGCATGAGAGTGGCCTACAGAAACAGAATGGCACAGATGCCGATTAAAACAATGTAGTTGGGACTTCCCTGGTGGCGCAGTGATTAAGAATCCGCCTGCCAACACAGGGTACACGGGTTTGATCCCCGGTCTGGGAAGATCCCACATGCCACAGAGCAGCTAAGCCCATGCGCCACAACTACTGAGCCTGTGCTCTAGAGCCTGTGAGCCACAACTACTGAGCCTGCGAGCCACAGCTACTGAAGCCCGCATGCCTAGAGCCCGTGCTCCGCAACAAGAGAAGCCACCGCAATGAGACGCCCACACGCCGCAACGAAGATTAGCCCCCACTCGCTGCAACTAGAGAAAGCCCGCGCACAGCAACAAAGACCCAATGCAGCCAAAAATAAATAAATGTTCCTTTTAAAAAAACAAACAATGTAGTTAAAAGTAATAGAGAAGTTGTCTTAAATACTATTATTGCTTGTGATATTCCTCCCAGTTTCCCTTATTTATCCCATTACAAATGGCTATGCCAGTAAAGGCTAAAGCATTTCACTTTTTTTCTCAGACACTACCAACTCTGAAACCTTGGCAATTATATATTTCTTTCCTCGAAGGCTCAGGAGACAACCCAGGACTTCTGTCATCTCAGATATAGCTGTTCAGGCACGATTATTTCAGACATGATTGCGTAGAGTGGCACTGTGCAATAGAAATGAAATGTGAGCCACATATAGAACTTTAAATTTTAGAGTAGCTACATTAAAAAATTTTTAAGCAGATAAAATTAATTAGTGATGTATTTTAATAAATTATTTTATTTAACCCAGTCTATCTGAAATATTATCATTTCAACATGTAATCCATATAAAAATTGTTAATTGGATGTGTTATATTCATGTGTGTGTGTGTGTGTGTGTGTGTGTGTGTGTGTGTGTATTAGTGCAGAAAGTCCAGGGTCACACCCATGTTATCAACCTGAGCTACCAGAAGAATGGAGTTGCCAGCAACTGAGAGCAGTGGATGGAGCAGACTTGGTGGGGAAGAACAGTAGTTCAATACTGTACCTCGCGTATTTGAAATGTCTATTAGACATCTGTTAGACATAGCTACTAGACAGCCCACTGGAAATGAACATGAAAATATAAAACTTCAAGGGACTTATATTTTAGTGTAAAATTTAGGTCATGTGAAAATATATTAAAAGATACAAACAAAAAATCTTATTTTTACATGATGTGAAACTACTATGTAGAATAATAAATATTGAAATTGGAAGGAGAATATGGGAGGGAACACAATTTCAGATAATGTCAAGGTAGACCTCTCTAGAAGGTGACATTTGAGCAAATATTTAATGGAAATAAGGGAAGGAAGCTTTCAATATGTAAGAGAAGAGCATATTAGGTAAGGAGAAAGATAGGTGATGATAGGTAGGTAGATAGATAGGTGATAGATAGACAGATTTAACCATTATACCTTATTGCTTTCCTGTAAAGATACATTTTCAATGCTTATTTTTTTAATGTTAAAGATAAACAATGAAAAATTAATCATGTTTGACTTTGTCTCCACCAAGGTACAAGTTTTTCGTTTGAGCCATCCTGCAATTCGTATCATTATACATGGAGCATTGTTTAGACGTGGTTTTATTAGCTAGGTTTACTTAACCTGAGGACTGTTATTTCCTTTTAGGGTTTCCAGTGGTGTAAAGATGTTTAGCAACTGCAGCATGCGTGACTATAGATATTTTGTTTCAACATTTGAGGGTCAGTGTCTTCAGAACTTTTCAAAACTGAAACCATTATATCAAAATCAGTCGGTGTGTGGTAATGGGATTTTGGGACCTCAGGAAGAATGTGACTGTGACAGTGAACAGGTGAGTGATTAAGACTGAAATCTGAGCACAATTTCTTATGTTTCCAGTAAGTGGTCATGGTATATATGGAATGATATATGCAACTAAGTCTTCAGTAGAATTAAGATGTGAAAATGAGGATAAATTAAGACGTATGAATCATTTCCCCACACCTCTTCAGCTGAGAAGGCAAATGAGTCATGAAACCTTGGTTTGAAGACACCGTTCACAATTATAGCAGCAGAGAGATTTTGAATATATGGACTAAATGAATTCCCTTTTAGCCAAATCATATGACCTCAGTCTCTGTTTTCTCTACAAACTTCTGAATTTGGTCCAACTTTTTTCTGTTTCTTATGGTTGCAAGGATGTCTAAACATTATAATGGATGTTTCTTAATTATTCTCAAACATTCCTGCATTTCTCAGTTTCAGGATGATCAAAATTTGTTCTGTTTACTCATTCTAAATATAAATGTGTAATCTACTATAGTTCCATCAACCGAATGTTCAATGCACACTATTTTCAAGTGATAGGACCAGATATTTAGTATATCATTATTTTGTAATATTTAATAATTCCCCCTATTTAAATTAAAAAAATTTCTTCATGATTACTCCCCCAGTAGTTATATGAATTTTTTATCCACCTACAAAAATAGCTAACCACTACCTGTTTACATAACTTTAAATCCCTACACATTCTCTTAATCATGTACCATTTCCTAAAGTTTATACATACATGTATGTGTGTGTGTGTCTCTATATATATGTATACATGTTTTCCAACTATCTCTGATTTTCCAATGTCATCTTAGTTTTTTTGATAAATACATAGTACTGTGCTCATCTTGCATTCACCTACCCCTAAATATGTGCCAATTACTTGCCAAATACTCTAGTTATATTTAATGAAGGATAAAATGAAACAACATAATCTAGGGCTAAATCTACACATTGTGAATTTCCACAACTGCAGGCTGTAGGCCGATTAACACTTACAGCAGATGCTGTCAATGCTCTACCAGTATTTCCTTGGCATTGACTGTTCCTGTAGAGTGTTTTTGCTTCAAGTATCTGATACTTTCTGTTGCAGTGCGTCCTCTGGCCTCAATAGAGTAGAATACTCAGCCAGTTATCAGGGAGGACTTAATGTACTCAGGACTATCGATCGGCCCTCAGATAATTATGATGGTAAATAAATGTCCCAGATTCCTTGCCCCTTAGGAGGAAATTTTCTGAGGCATGCTTTACATCAAAGTTCTACAAACCATAGCCAGTGGGCCAAATTCAGCTGCCACTTATTTTTGTAAACGTTACTTAATTGGAATGCAGCCACACCCATATGTTTACATATTGTTTATGACTCTTTTTGTGCTACAACAGCAGAGTTGAATAGTTGCAACAGAGACCATATGGCACAGCATTTCAGCAAAACTGAAACTATTTGCTATTTCATCCTTTACAGAAAATGTTTGCTGTCCCCTATTCTGTGTCATTTCCCAGAGGTACTTGTGGGATTTAGCTTTATCTTACAGGAGCAGCAAACAGTTCACAAACCCACTCGTACTGGCTTGCGTCCCTTCCCTAACATCCTATACCAGCGCTTTGGTGGTTGGCAGAATGGACCTTCAAATACATCCTCACTCGAAGCTCTGGAATTTGTGGATATGCATATTACATGGCAGAAGGTAATGTGCAGAACTAATTAAGGGTATGGACATTAAAGAGGGGACATTATCCTGGATTATCTGGGTGGGTCCTGGCTAATCACATGAGCCCTTAGAAACAGAGAATGTTCTCCAGGTGAAGTCAGAGAGATGTGGCAGAAGGGGGCTCAAGCCGCTACTGCTGGATGAAGACACATGGAAGCACAAGAAGAAACGCTGATAGTTTCTTGGAGAAAAGACAAGCCCTTGGCTGACAGCCACCAAAGAAACAGGAAGCTTTTTCCCACATCTTGGTTTTACCCTTGTGAGACTGTAAGCAGAGGACCTGACCTAGTTTGCCTGTCTGAAGTTCTGAGCTACAGAAAGTATGAGGAAATTAACTTGGGTTATTTTAAGTCGCTATGTTTGTGGTCATTTGCAACAGCATCAGTAGGGAACTAATACGCCTTTCAAATGAATTACTCATATGCATCACTGTTTCAGAGTCTGTCTCTGGAGAAACTCAAACCACATTAGCTGGACCAGAAATTGTCCTAGGAAGCAGACACTCAAGACAGGTTTCTGAAAGTGGATTTCATGCTGGCCAGATAGTAATATGTACTCATGTACTCATTTCTGGGCTTGGCACATTTGAATAGATGCACTGGAGAAACTTAACACCTCCAAATCCCTCAGAACCCCCTGGGCTGTGAAGTTACTGCTCTCCCCATGGTGGGGCAGAGCAGCATCACATTGCCTGTGGACCAGAGAGACTTAGATGAGACGGATGTCTCACAAGACGATGCCTGTTCTTCTCAAGATCTGTCCCTGCCTTCCCTTGTTGGTACTAGACAACTAACTAGTCTCAAGTCTAAATGCAGCCCAAGTGAAGACATACCCTCTGCTATTGGAATAAAGTTATTTTTTTTAAATTGTAGAATTTGCTAGTATGTGTGGACAAGAACATGGAGAACATGCCAGGGATGGATGTTAAGGATGTTGACCCCAAGATATTAAAGTATAAGCCTGGAAAAGGAGGATGCTGTCTAGTGAATCAGGGTTTAATACCTTGGCAAGGCAACCTGGGGCCAGCCTTGATTTGCCACTGGATGGAACCTTGAAGATGGGAAACAATCTGGCCTACAATAAATGAGGTTGATATGCCAGAACAACCTTAACGGAGTAATACAAAAGGGGTCAAAAGTTCAGAGTTGTGGCCATATTTTAATAGAACATAAGGATACTACAAAATCTAGCACCTAATTATCCGGATGGCCCAGAGTACACTCCTTTCACTAAAGCAATGAGGAAATGCACTTCTGAGGAGATCCTGATGTGGTTGAAGATCTCAGTGGTAGCTTTCTTCTATAGACTAGGGTCGATGGTTGGAAGTACCGTCATGGAGTTGGGCACCCAGTGTCACTAGGGATGCTTGAATTCCAGAATAGCAGAGGTCAAGTGGCTGTGATTAAGAGAGATCTGGGTAGGGACTTCCCTGGTGGCACAGTGGTTAAGAATCCGCCTGCCAATGCAGGGGACATGGGCTCGATCCCTGGTCCCAGAAGATCCCACATGGCACAGAGCAACTAAGCCTGTGCGCCACACTCTTGAGCCTGTGCTCTAGAGCCCACGAGCCACAACTGCTGAAGCCCGTGTGCCACAACTGCTGAAGCCCGTGTACTTAGAGCCTGTGCTCCACAACAAGAGAAGCCACCACAATGAGAAGCCCACACACTGCAACGAAGAGCAGCCCCCACTTGCCGCAGCTAGAGAAAGCCTGTGTGCAGCAACGAAGACCCAACACAGCCAAAAATAAATAAGTAAAAAATAAATTTATATTTAAAAAAAGAGATCTGGGTAGTCAATTATGATATCCCTTGATGTATGTAACTGAAAATTAGGAAGAGATGAGCAAAGGACTGGTGCCAATTACTACTAATGGAAATTCACAATCCCTTGCTAAATTTCTGGACCCAAGCTAGTCTCAGAGCCAGAGCTCATTGTTCGAGTTGAGGGTGAGATCCTACAATGCCCAAGTAAGGATATAAAGTAGCAACTTCCTCAATTATTCCCCTCCAAAGTGACCTCCAGCCATTTGTGGTAGCTGTTCACTGGGGAATGGGGAATACCCAGATCACTGTAGGATGACTGAATAGAGAATCTTTACTTAACAGACTCACATAAGAGGACTCAAACTGCTATCATGCGTAGCGTAGGCCTACAGAGAATCCAGGTGATACCTGACATCTTTGAAAAATCCATCTTAACAGTAGATCCAATAGGTTCATTATCCTAACCTGTGTTCATGTTGCCTGTTCTTTAGTGACCCACTGAGGTGACACACTTAGAAGCTGACAGATCCTCACATTGGTTCCCCAATATGTGGAGTGTAAGCTACAAGAATAGGAAAGGACAAGTATAAATGCCTGAAACTACCAGGGTAGAAATCAGGAAGGAGAATATAACCTGGATGAAGAAATCAGTAGGGAAAGTAGACAGTAATTTGAACTACATGAAAATGAAATGTAATGAAAACCAAGATCATTAGAGAATGATTGGTTAGCTGTGCTAACAGTGCTGACATCAGAATACCCGTAACACCTTCATGGTCAGTATAGATTCTGTATCCAAACATCCTACAACCAAATGCAAGTTCTTGTTATAAATAAATTTAATTAATTAAATAAATAAAATCGATAAGCCTCTACTAACAGTAGTAAAGAAAAAAATCAAGACTAACGTTAATTAAGAAAACGTATAACAATTGGAAGTGAAGAAATTTAACTGTCATTCCTAATAATATGATCGGGTACAATGAAAACCCAAATAATCTAGAAATAAATTATAATTTGCGTATATAAGTGTATTTACCAAGGTCATTGGTTACATAATTCACAAAAGTCAAAAGACTTCTTTATATCAGCAATAAATTAGAAAAGGAAATTTTAAAATAACACCATTTACAATAGCACCAAGAAACATAAAATGTTTAAGAATGTATCTAATAAAATATGTACAAGACCACTAAATAGAAAACTGCAAAGTATTGCTAAGAGAAATCATGGAAGTATTTAATAAATTCAAGAATATGCCATATTTTAAGATTGGAGGAATCGATATTGATGAGATTGTGATTTCTCTCCAAATTCATCATCTCCAGATGCAGTCCCAATCCATCCTCAAACAATTATATAGTTATAAAATGGAAGGGAATTTTAATAACTTTTCAGAAAACTGTGCATATTCTACTTTGTTGCTACACCAAACTTGAAAAGTGAAAATTTCTAAAAGGTTAGTTGCATTGTTAAATCTGAAACCGAAATTAGTGGATAATTTATACCCCATTACACTAAAGCCCATTGGTCTATATTAC